CTCTCTCTCTCTCTCTCTCTCTCTCTCTCTCTCTCTCTCTCTCTCTCTCCGTCTTGTCTAGCTTCGTTGACTCCGCAATCGACGACGATGTAATGTCACTCGATGTCCCGTAATTTTCTGTTTCCAATGATTGACATCATAATTAACATCGTGCTCCGTAATTTGGGACGACAGTTGTTTTACGCCCTGTCTCTCTCGATTTCTGTTTTGTAGGTAACGTGCAGAAATATCTTTCTGATAGCAAGCGTGTTTTTGTTTCTTTATTTTTAACAGTCACCGGTGCCACCGACTGCGGCCTCTTGGAAGGAGTCTTGCGCGGACAGGGTACCGGCCTGTTCCCTGCGCATTGCGTTCAGGAGGTCCGGCTACGTCACACGAATATACCTCTAGGCCCGCAACCGGCGAGAGACGGACGGAATCGAGTTCTGGGCCGTAGAGAATCACAGCACAAGTACTTTGCCACCGCGCCCAGATTAAAGAAACCGTGAGTTTGATGCTCGGTCATTTTTCACATCATTCCTCAGTACTTAGTGAAAGATGCGATGATGAATTTGAATTCTCAGCGTCACGTCGGAGCCGCGCACTGTTGTTCTTCATCGTTCGAGGAAAGGCTTCGGCTTCGTATTGCGCGGCGCCAAGGCCACCTCGCCGCTAATGGAACTCACACCGTCTGCCAAGTACCCGGCGTTGCAATATCTGGACGATGTCGATCAAGGAGGCGTGGCCGATTTAGCAGGTCTCCGAAAAGGAGATTTTCTCATTCAAGTAAGTTGCATATGTTGATATTAATTTGTCGCTAAAATATAACAAGAATAATTCACTTTATAAGAAACGTCTCATCGTGGGATTTTTGTAACTTTGTACTTTATATTCTTTGACTTAAATTGCTTTATTAAACCTGCTTCTCCTACAATTATTTTAGATTAACGGCGAGGATGTGACGACGGCCTCCCACGAACACGTGGTCGATCTGATAAGAAAATCGGGAGAGCTGGTACGAATGACCGTGGTCTCTCCGGTGATCAGTCTTCCGAATTCTCAATCGGCGGCCGCGTTGCCAACTAGTCAACCGATTCAGAGACAATACGCAACCTTGCCGCGCAAGGGCAATAACAATGTGGTGATCGGCGGTACACTCGGCAGGTCTCCAGCTCCCATACCGCCACGAAGAGATCCGAAGACCACGCTAAGCGTGGGACGCGCGAGGGCACGATCCATGGTCGCGGGACTAGGTAACAGATTAGAGATCAGTCTTGAGATATATAAATAAGCAGACACCGTGAAAAGTCGTTCGTGATGCGTTTGTGATATCTCTCGCAGAAGGAGGCGGCGAAAGGGACGACCGTGACGAAATCGCGTCGACTGGTGCGAAGTCGAGCAGCGCAGAATCGATTCACATGCCGCAGCAGCCGTCGACCGGATCGAACACCGGCCAGAACACTCCGGTGCAACCGAGAACAGCTAGTATCCGATCGCGTCCGACCTCCAGCAGAATCACTGCCGCGGAACTTGAAGTAACTATCTCCCGTCCGCTTGTGACACGCGTGCCGAACATGCTCTCCCTCTCTCTATATCTCTCTCTTTCGCTCGATCACAGAATCCGTGCGCTCGTTGTCCTCGAATTGAATGGCATTGTGTGCACGAGACGAGACCGAGGCTTCAGCTTCGACTTTTAATTTCTCTTCCAGGAACTATTTCAGCGGCAGCAGGGTAGCGCCGGCAGTCAGTACAGCTCGTCCATGATGAGCTCCTCTCACTTTCAGACTACTGGTCAGTCTACCAAGTCGCATCCGTCGTCGCCCGCCAAGACCGGCAGGGTGTACGCGAGCGTGGCGGAGATGAAGCGCAAGGGCAAAGTAAGGATGACCTGCCACTCAGTTACGAGCTCGCACTCGCGCCCTCGTTCGCGTTTCTCTTTTTAACATTCACCCCTCTTTTTAACGTTCATAGTTGATAATAAGCCCCCTGATGAAAGCTGCCCTAGATAATGGCCATTAACTTGTTTGTTCGTTTGTTTGTTCATCTCATTCATTAGTAGTTTGATTAAACTTTCTGACAACTCCCTTTCAATAACAACTTTTGATCATTCCTTAGTCTCTAATATAGACACATCTTTTTCTCTACTTACTTTCCTCGTACTGTACCCATTGATAGTAATTTGTTAATATAATATTCGACGGTCGAGGATATTCCGTAAGAAAAGTCTACCAGCGTCTAAAGCGACGTCCGACGTTCGATGAACGCTCCTCTCTCTGGGCAATGGTAATGGTGGTTCTTTTCTTTTGCATGTGTGTTATAGTTTGCGCGTAAACCAGTGCGAGCACACAGCAAAGGACGGTCCTGGTGTGGGCGAGACGACGAGGACTACTACTTATATTACTGATCGAAAATACTTTGTTTCTAGCTCGTCCGTGGCTTGCATGATTTCAGGTGACTAAGCTATTTGCTAAAATGAAAAGAAATCTGACGTCCGCGAGGACGTTAGGTGTCCCACCTACAGCTTCGTGTTCACGCCTCAAGTGTCAATTAACCGATTTGCCGCATTTTGCATTTAACCGAGTTTAGCCATTTCCTTCAGTTCCTTAAGTCGCTTTTCAGGATTGGTTCTAATAAGCATGGAAGGCTAACGATACGTAACTGTCTACGTTCTTCGCAGCATTCGACAGCATTAATACTTAAATAACCTTTCGCTGAAGCAGTAATGGTAGTTGGTCACGGTAGCTTGGAGCTCACGCTTAGCAGGAATATGCTTCATCCTCGAATCACACTTTTCCAGTGTCCCCTTATCTTTTGTGTCACTTCATTCCCTCGTGCCCTCACGAACCCAGATTCAAATCGCAATTTTGTAAATTTTTCACGCTCCGAGTTTTTCAAAGTTAGCGAGACGACGACGTCGATGTTCGCGAGTCGCAGTCTGTACGAGCCTCTTGTTCTTACGTTTGCAGTCTCAATCGAGAGTACGCTTCTTTGGGGGTTTGGGCGGCGGTTCCGATCTTCACAGGGATTTTCATAGCACGCCGGATCTCAACGTGCAAGCGCAAGCGTCGTCCGTTCTGGCGCCCAAGTGCCATAGAAGTCAGGAAGACGTAAACGCTCTGAATGGTAGAAATGGTCTTCCACCACCGAATCATCCACCGCCGCCTCCACCGGTCGGGCAAGTCATTAAGGTGAATATCGGTGCCAACGTGCCGGACGTCGTTACGCCAGCCTCGGTTTACGATAACATGGCGCATATCCAGCAAGTCAAAGGTAACGATTGTTTTCTAACTTTGCTTATAATTCCTTATGAATTTTATTTTATTTTATTTTATTTATTACATATAGAACTCGCGGCGGCCACGGTCGAAGGTGGCTACGGAGTGATGTCGAGCTTCCGGCCGTCGAACAACGCAAAGCTATATGCCTCGCCGGAAGACATGAAGACCGTCGGATATCGCTCGCGTAGTTTACCAGCTAATCGCCCGCATCTGAGGAAGTCTCACAGTCTACGCAGCGCGCCAAGTAATACCACGTTCAAGCCTACCGGCAGTCAGCAAGCGTTAAATACCAACATTAATATGAATAGTAACAGCAACGGTAACAATTCAGTCAACAATCAGTACGCACAGCCGTTGAAGACAACCAGAAGTCACAGCACGGCTGGCATTCGCGAACGGAAAAAAAGACGGTTGTGAGCACCAGCTCGTCCGTCACGAATCTTTCGTCGATCGTGTCTGGCGCGAATGGAACGCCCACGCCCTCTTCGGCGCCGCCGATCCCCGAGCCGGATTACAGTTTATCAGAATCGGAAAACGATGAGGGCGAGGATGAGACGGACGAAGATGGCGAGTCGGAAATTGCGAAAGAACTGGAAAAGGCAGCGGCACGCGAGAAACTGGAGGCAACGCGAGAGACATCCGGTAACTCCAATACATCTGGCTCGAGCTCCTCGGGCAGCGGCTCGCTGCCGCATTCGTTCAGCGTTGAAGAAATTCAGAAAGTGCGCACGCAATTAAAGTCATCTAAGAGCCACCCGAACGATTTTCTACTGCAACAAACGCAACAGTCGCTCGTCGAAGACGGTGATAATAGCTCGAGCGGAGTTAGTTCGGATCAGGATGTGCCGGTGGGTCCACCGATGGGTTTCGATGATACCGCTGCGCGGAATCTGGCCAATCAGGAGAGCAATCAGCATTCAACACCGGGAGGCCCGACTCTACTGACCGGTGTCAATCCGGTTGAAAAGGAAAGCAACCAGACCAAACGACCAGGCTACGGAGGTAGCGGTTTGCTGACCAGGCATGCGGTCAGCCTAGCACAATTGCCACCACCGATCGAAGCCGACGCTGAGGAACAGAACAACGATCTATTCGTACCGCCACCGCCGGAGTTCAACGCTGGCCCATCCGCCGGAGGCCAAGACCACGAAGTAGTGGTATTTGCACCGCCGCCGCAGTTCTGCGATAACAAACAGCAACAGCAGCAGCAGCAGACCGCGGCGCAAAATCGTGTCAAGATAATCGGCGCGATTCCCAAGGCTGCCGGGAATCAGGTGAAGGCGTCGGGCGGTCGATTGCCATAGAGAGGAAATTACAGGATGATTGATTTATTCGTATATTACTTCCCGACAAGGCGAACAAAAGAGAATTTGTAACACGTACATCGCGATTTCGAAGTCAATATATTTAGAGGCTTTCTGCCTTTTCGGTAGTGATCACCGCGCGACGAGCGTATTAAAGTTAGACTACATCGATCCGATAAGGAAGGATCGACGATCCGCGCGAGCGTATGCAGAGCGCGGTCGCTTGGACAATTTTTTTCCAAGAGTAAATCGTATTCTACTCGAGCGTCTAGAAGTCATAGGAAGTATACCGAGAAGATAATCGAGCGCGTTTTTACCAAGTAAGTTTACGAGTGTGAGCGTGTACGTTCGATTGCACCACAAAATAGAGGATTGGTTTGTCGCACACGAGCGCACGATCGATCATAAAGTTTTGTCCATCACCACCCCGTCTGTGAGTGAGCCGACAGATCCGCAAACCGATTCGCTGCGTCGTATGGAGAAAGTGAGCGGCCTAAGGGCACGAGAAAGATGGCATACATACATTCCGACAGGAGAAAGACGAACGACGGAAAAGAAAGAGAAAAGAAAAATGGATATAAAATGCGTGTATGGCGTGCGTGAATTTGTGACGCGTGAATGTGCGATGCATATCGGTTTGTTTTTCATGTTTCTAACGAGCTACGAGGTGTGTTTTAATACTTTTACATGACACTCGATATGACACTCTTCGCCCCGAAAACACGGAACTGTCGAGGTACTTTTTGCAAGTCGCTTGTAAACCAATTTTAATCAAGAGCATCACAGCAGTCTCGCTCACTCTCGACCCCCCCCCTCCCCCTCTCTGTTGCCGGCGAGACATCGACGGCAACGATTTCTTCAATGACGATGGCGCGAAAATCACCGTAACTGATTAGTTGTTAATGTCGAACAAAACGCAATTCTTTTAGTTTCTCTCGTGTCTAGACACTGCTCAAACGCCTAATCACAAAGCTGTACTCGCGAAGTCATTAGAGATTCTTTCTAGTTTGTAATTGCAAATATTATTAATATTAATAATATTAATATTAGTTATGATTTTATTATTATATTATATTATTAATATTATTGTTAGCATTGTTATTACGATAGTTATACGGCGACTGTAACGCTTCGCTGACGAGACTCTCGAGAAGAGCGTAGTCGCGTCACGAAAAAGGATGTGCAGCACTATACTTTGTTATAATGCACCATACTCCATCCTGTGTATAGTAAATCGTATTCCTTCCATTCATGTGAATAGCTTTCTTTGCCCAGAAACATTGCGTTTGCGCATCACTGTCGCACGAATTCAAGAATCAAAGTCTCATAGAAATTCCTCGCAAGCACGAAATTAATGAAGCTCACAGACTTGATTCTCGAGTTCTTCGCACAAGCGCGGCCCATCTTTTTGCAAATTAATTGCAAATATGTATATACATATATATACATATGGACACCGAATCTTCCTGATCATTGTTTCTTTATGAACGCTGGACAAAAAAAAATGTCGCATTTCGTGTAGCATAGGTGCGAGCGCGCGTGAGTCGTCGTTTTTGAGACAGAAAAGATAGAGTCAACCGTAACGTTTAACCAAATGTTCCTTCGATATATTTCATTATCGTTTTTTGATGTAAGCTCCAACGAGATTCGGCACAGCGTAAATATATTCTTGAATATTTATGCATATGTATATATGAGTATTGAAATATTCAGATGTCTGATCTTTTTATCGTAAGGATTAATATTTTATATATAAAACAAATTACTCAACTTATAAGGAAAAAAAGATAAAAATTATAAGAATAACACAATGCATTATATCTTATATATTTTTCTTTTTTAACTTCTTTTCTTGAACAGTAATAACTTTCTCTAGATTTTATATAATTTATTACAATGTGATCCAATTTTAATCACAAAATAATACTCGTCTAGGAATAAATGAAGCCGGGCATTGCAATTGGTATTAGAAAATCAAAATATCATAAGACATTTGTATACGTATATGATAAATATGAGTGATTGCACATCCTAATGATGTTCACCAGATATATACGCTGTGCAGGATCGTTCGTAAGATCATTCCGTAAATTCTCGCGGGTCAGTGAAAAGCAATACATGACACGTGCATCACGACGGCTCGTACAATAGCAAACAGAGAGATTGGTTGAGAGAAAGAAGAAAGAGACGAGGCTTTATTTTTCTTTGCCGTGCACGTGGCCTACGACCACGTGGCATTCCGTGCAAAGCGGATGTACGACATAGGCTGATGCGTGCACCGGATGCGC